CAATAATAGCACTGTATTGTTTATATGAAACAATAAATCAATCGACGTTACCTTTACACATGGCTCGCGTTCTTTGAAGTGTACAAAAGCGTAATCTTTGATCTTTTTTATGCGTTCAATCTCGCCATATGGGCCGAAGATCTCCTTCAATTTCTCCTCAGTTACAATTTCCTTTAGGTTGCGGACGTAAAGCACTTTGACCTGAAAAAGAAACATCAAAATTAGAGCCCATAGCACATGTAATTCAAATCTACCCACTTTGTTCATGGTGTCCTCATCAGGTTCGTCCTGTTGCTCGGCCCAATCAACTACAAGCTCACTGTTGAAAGGACGAATCTGAAAGGAGAAAAATTATGTTTGGAATGAACTACAGCAGACCGCTCCCAATCCATCAGGGTGCAAGGCGCTTACTTTGTGTTGCTGAATCTTCCTTTTTGCATCAGAAGCAGTTTTATGATCCGCAAAGTCGACGAAGCAGAATCCTCTATTCTTGAATCGTTCAGTTGCATCCGGAATTGTGTAGACAATCACGTCTGTGACACCCTCTGAAACTGTAGGGTCAATAAAACGTTAGAGGACATCAGAAAAACTTTACCTGCTCAGCCCTAGCCCATTCTTTCTCGGCACAAAACAAAAGAACTCGAAAAAGTTGTTCCGAAAAGGCCTCGGCTCTTTTTTACCTGCGTGCTTTTTGAGCTCCTCAAGAATTTCGGCTTTAGTTTTCGACTTGGGGATGTTTCCCAGGAACAGACGTGTGTTTGCGACAGAGACGTTCACTTTCAGAGCTTTTCCGGGCAAAATTTCGTGTCCATCATACTAAAATCACAGCTTCTTCGTGCTTTTTGCGCATTTTTCAGGAATTTTGGCGCTGCTTGGAACGCATCTTTTCAAAAGATGGATAAAAACAAACCGATGGCAAAACCAAGAGAGTGAGAGAAAAAAGACGAATAGTTGACTAGACGAGTAAGGACACAGCAGTGACAAAAGAGAAGAAAACGCGACAAAAACTAAGAGCGCCCCCAAGCAGATGTTAAGGATGCTTGAGGAGACAAAAATGACCTTTTTAGCAGCTTCCGATGCAGACGACTTCTCGCAGAATGTCAGGAAAGCGTATCCTCTGTTCTTGGCTGACATGGGATCCATCATAAGTCTCAGATCCCAGATTTTACCGCACGTTTCGAACAAGGGAACAATAGAATCCTCAAAGAGTTCGTGGGGAATATGACCGATGTAGATCTGAAAAAGTATTTGGTAAAACCGGTCTTAACGCTACTTTGCTAGTAGAAAGCACCTCGTGTCCTTGGCCAGCGGGTCCGGTGGGAGGACCATCCCAGTCAGGACACGGTCCGCCATACTTCCGTTGCCCAACGGTGATTTCCAGAGTATAGCCAGTTCTCTTCAAAATTTCCGTCATTTTGTCTGGATCAGGTCCGTTGATCAGCTTTCCTGCCATGACCGCCTGAGCTCCCTGGGCACGAATGCGATCGCGGAAATTACGCATGAGTGACATCAGGTACTGGGGCTTGTTTTGAACTCCAAAAAGTCTGGATTCCTTAAAGAGGAACAAAAATAAGTTCTGAAGCATCAAGAAGGAAACAGCAGTCAACTCACCCTCAGTTGATCGATGATGTAACGAGCTTGATCTTCTGGGAAGGAATTCATCATTTCCACTGCGCGCTCATCAAAGTCATCAATAGTCATGTATCCCGACTCGAACAACTTCATCAGGGTCTCGGCAACTGACTGCTTCATTTGTTGAGAAACGAGCTTCTTGTAAACTTCATCTTCAGCATAAGTCTAAAGGTGTCATGAGATTTTGAGACAAGTTTATTTCACTTCACTAGAAAGCGAGTGATCCGACCTGCTATACAGTTCTCACTCCAAACGTGAGAAATAGAT